TGATCTGTCAACCAGGTGTTTCACTCTCTGTAGGTCCTTGGCCAGTTTGTGCGTTGGTGCGCCTGGTAAGGAGACAGTGGGTCTGAGGGGGATGCCTGGTTTGTATACTTTGGGTAACATCTGATGATGTTATGTAGCAATGTAACGAAACGTCTACATGATAACCAGCCACCTCGGGAAGCAAGCCAACAACCTCGTCCACAACCCGAGCTGCAAATCTTCGCAAGAACCTTAAATACCTACGGGCGCAACATGCTCAAAGTAGCCTGCCAAAGGGGAAACTTTCACCAACCGAGTACTACTCGCGAACAACTTCACTTTCTCCACGAATGCCTCAGGAACCAGGTACTGCCCTGCAGTACAAACCATGTCTAGTCCCAGTGTCCCAGGAATCTGAAACTTTCACCCTTGCACTATTTCTCCAGCCATGTGTTCATCTGAGAGATCCTGCTATTGCTACGCTAGTTAGCATGTGCCACTGGTAGTGATCCCAAGATCACTACCTTTTTGAGGTACTTTTTTTAAGCTTGCTTCCTAACTCCCAATGTTCTTTTAGGATCCCATACAACAAAGTTGGCTGTTGCTACTTTGCTCTGAGAGGCCATTCCTGCAAAAGTATCCAAATTGGTATATCTGCTTTGGAATGTCCACAGGGTGCATACACTGGTTATCTGGTCCTCTTTCCGTGCCTGGTGGTCACATATGTTCCCTCCCTTCCTGTGGGGTTTAAGCCTGTGGAGTGACCACCTCTTTGTATGTTCAATCCGCAGTGCTCTTATCCTCATGGATGCTGCAGAGTGCGCCCAGCCATCGTTTCAGCTCTGAAACTCCGGCTTTCAAGTGTTGCAGCTGGAGACCTTTCCTGCACATGTTCTGCACATGGACCCAACTGTGCCCAACTTTAGAGCAGGCCCAACATATAGAGCAGGAGGTACACACCACGGCCTTGTGCTTTCCTTCCATGACTTACCCCTTTAAGTTAAAGTCTTAGATTGCCCTTAACTTCAAATAATAATAATTAGTCTAGGGTCCTTCTTCTCTGGACCTTTGCATTATTGTGCTTAAATTATAAAGCCAAAGCAAAGACCTTGCAAACTATAAGCAATAAAAAAAAGTATAAATACTCACCCAATCAGCTGCTTTCTCGTACCTTGCACCACTTTTTGACACTGTTTGTAGATTGTTTGACTGCAATGCTGACTGTAGATATTTTGGTCCATGTTCACCTACTCCCTGTTCTTGGTTGCATGCCTCACGTGTTGGTCAAAATTCGCTCTCCCTGTGTTTGCTCAAACATGTCTGTGTCATTAGCCGTTTTCAGTCCTCACCGGCATACCCAAAACTCTTGATCTTCAGTATGGCCATTTTATGGCTAGTGTCTGTACAGTAGTTTGGTCAGACCTCCAAGATGGACAGCCATGCCTCCTTAACATTATCTGTACATACCTAACTCCTTTCCCTAGTGGCAGCAGGAAGCTAGTCTTATCATTAATACATGGATCTCTTAGTTACTCCTAATCTCCTTCAGCCAGTTGGCAGCTTCCTTTCTCTAATGGGCACTTTTTTCTTCTCTACCAATCAACTGTGTAGTACCAATAAGATGTGACATGTCTTTCCTACCTATGATTGAAAAGCTACGTTCATTCCCCAATCCTAAATCTACTCCCACTAGGACTGTGATATGAGAATTTTCTCTATGCCTCCCTTTATTTCTTTAACTTAGTGGTACCTGGGCTACCCCTTCTGGTCCTCGTTTAAACACTAAAGTCACCCATGGGTTATTTCTTCTCCTACCACCATTCCTTGAACTGGGTTATGTCCTATGTCCCACATCACTCATACAGACCCATCCTGGGATAGTAATATGGCTTTCTAAGCTGCCCATCAACTTTCAAATACTGTCCCTGATTCGCCCCCTGCATACTAGTACATTCAGTGTTTAAAACTACTTTCCCATTCATTGTGAGTAGTTCATAAGCCTTCACCACCCACATAGCACAGTTTGTGGCTGCTACACAACATGCCATGCATCCCAGTATGTGACTGGCTTAAAAGTATGCTACTGCCTGCATCTAGTCGCCGTGTCCTGAGCCAGTTTAGCCCCATTTATGCCTTTCTTCATATTGGATATACAGGTGAAAGGTCTTCAAGGATGTGAGAGTCCTAATGCAGGTGCTTTCAAAAGGGATTTCTTTATTTTGGTACAAGACTCTTCCAGTTCTGCTCCCACTTTTTCTTCAGGGTGCCCTCCCTTTATAAAGGACTATAAGGGAGGATCCATTTCTGCGCATCCCTCAACAAATTTCCCATAACAGTTAAATAACTCCATATCTTCTGGATACGCCTCACATTCATGGGTCAAGGCATCTCCCAAATGGCCCATTTCCGGGTTTCAGGCATTTCCCTTATGAATTCTCATGCCCCTGGTAGGATACCTGAGGTCCCCTCACTCGGATCTTTTTTAAGCTAATCTTGAATCTGTTCCGGACTAATGCTTCCAACAGGGTTAATAACGTCCCAGCACGCTTCTTTATCATTGTAGAGGCCAGGAGCAAGTATTCGACATATTGAATCAAGAGGTTCCCTCCTCTTCTTGATGTTTGACCCCATATTATCACCATAGCCCTGTGAAATATAGCTGGGTTATTGAAGAATCCTTGGGGCAGACAGTTCCACTAGTACTGATGCTATCCAACCACAAAGCCAAACCAATCTTGAGTTTCCAGAACCCGGAGTATGGCCAAGAATCAGTTAGCAGTTTCCAGGACGGTATATCCAGTGTTCTGGACGTAAGCCATTAAATATCATGGTACAATTAACAGCAATGGGATGCTGCTTTGGGGTCACCTCCTTAAAGGTTATATAATCTACGTTGAAGTAGTAAGACCCGTCCAGCTTCCTTACTGGCCAAATGGATGAGTTAGACAGCTTCTCAGATTACTCATTGTGCCAACAATTCCTGTTCTATTTCCCCTACTGACTCTAGTGCCTCCCTACATATTAGGTATTGGCTGTTTAGTCCATGGAGGAGACTTGCACCCCCGGAGGGGGCATATTAGTCCTGCTGCAATCCAATCTGTGGGTTGCTCATGCTTCTGGTGTTAATCCTCTCATGATATATATTGTCGGGCTGAGCAGGATACTGGGGTATCTGCTTTTCTCCAGGATAAAGGAGTCATAGTCAGTAATGGGGTTTAAATCAGCATGTGAGCCAGGTTAGTCTGATTTGGCTAGTTTAGCCTCTGAACCATACTGAGCTACCAAGTAAAAACTGAAAGAACCATGGATGCTGTAAATCGGAGACAAAAACAGAAAAACAAAAAACAGGAGAGCTCAGCAAGTCTGGCAGCATCTGTAGAGAGAAATCAGAGTTAATGTTTCGGGTCGAGTGACCCTTCGTCAGAACCGAAACTCCTCAGATTTTGATGACTTTAAAATCCAGTGCCAATGACAATATGGGCAATATGGAGAAGGAATCCTCCCAAATGTCATCATGGTGTCCATACTCCCCAGCTTCCTTATCTAAACCTCCACAGTCAGTTTTGTCTGGTTGTTGTTGTGTGGCAACAGGCATCCCCTTGTGGCAAGTTTCTTGTGGCCGCTAATTGTTTTCTAGTTGTTGCTTATACAGACAACAAAGGAACAAGAATACTTTGTTGGTTTGATCTTTTAAGTTTCCCTTCCACCAAGCCTGCAGAGCCTCCAGCAAGTCCTCCGGATCACAGCTCTCTTTTCTCACCTGTTCTATCAACCCCTGTGTTTCACATACACGTAGTGCTATATCAACCCTTCTTGGTCCCATGCTTCTTCATGGTGTGACCTGCACTCCAGCATTATGCCGTGCCCTTCTCTGCGTGAAATGAATTGTGTGCTCTCTTATCCCTGCATCAGAGCTGTTAGATCATCATCCACAATTCTTTATCCATTTTTTCCCTTCCAAATGTAAATGTCCTGCCGACTACGCCAATTTGTTGTGTGGCAGCAGGAATAACCCAGTCCAGATGCTTGAGGTATGTTTTATTTGGTCTTCTTTATTCAAGTATATGCCGGGGAGCTAAAGGATAGAGCAACAGCTCTCCTGTGATTCCCAGAATAATGATTACAGCATAGTTTATTGTATCAGAATACAATAGATTTCAGAGTTCACATGATCCATTAATGATATGAGGTTACATCCAAATTTTTGCAAGACAATCAACAGAATAGCTTTTTTTGGTCAGGGTTCTCCTACTTCCTGTGCTTGTCCAAACATATTTGTGCTATGCTAACCTTTTGATTAGAATTCACCCGATCCTTTATGGGCCCAGACATGTCTGTGCAGTAATAATCCTTCAACACAGCTGGTGAAGGAGACTGAAAGCCTGATTACAAGAGCATATGTTGTGAAAGATCTGAAAGTGTGTCTTCTGGTGGACATAACACCCATGGAACTCTGGGATGGTAAAACTGTTTTTGAACATGTCTCCAGACTTAAATCCTTCATCAGTAAAACAAATGAAACTCTACCTGGCAAGAACAGAACTTTGCCATTAATCTCAGATACAAAGATACATATAGTGAAGAGACTACTGAAGAAATCTGAGAAATCTATCTTTATTGTAATCAGCTATTTAAGGCATATTTCTATAGTTTCCACAGAGTGCAATTTGCCTATTAATTCATGTGGCATCTATATTAACTTTAGCTTTGACTGTTAATACTAAAAAGTTTAAGAATTGGAATCTTGTCCACTAGGTATTTCTATTGGGTCATTTAGAAAGTTTGATTCTTTCACACTGTTGATCTCAAAAATCATTACATCATTAACGATCAATCTTTTTGGTTGAAAACGATCTAACTCGAATTGAGAGTTCAGTACAGAATTTTAGGTGAGAATCTAATATTGACTCCACTGCAATGCACCTAACCCTAAAGCGTACTATTAGCAACTGTTTAGTTGTGTGAATTTGTTTAAACTGTTGCTATTCTAACAAGTACTAACATTGGAATTCTGCCATTAGGTGATGTTCTAATTGCTGTGAATGATGTGGAAGTAACCACTGAGAACATTGAGCGGGTTTTATCATGTATTCCAGGTCCAATGCAGGTATGTTTATGATCCTTCTCATTTACGTTGAAATAATGTACTTTGTCATGGAAACTATTTTGCATTATTTCGCTTTGGTTTCAGCAGCCCATTCTGATTAAATATTTGTCTTCACAAAATTGTTGGAAATCTGTTGAATAGGACTGTCCATTATGTAACCTGCCTGTTTTCATTATATTGAAATCATTGGAATGAAAGTTAGGTAGGTAATGCAATCAGCCAGATTTTGGCTAGTGGTGAAACCAGAGAATTACCTCAGTGACATTTTATAATTGTGATACCGGCATTTTGAGAATGTTGTTTCATTTGTTTGTTATTCCGGTGATCACTGCAGGCTTCTTGCATTGCTGATTTTTTTGTAATCATTGTTTCTATTGAATTTAATGGTCATTGCTGGCCACCATTAAAGCTGTTCCCAATGGTGATAAAATGTTGATTAAGTAAGAATAGAGGCTCAGATCTTCTGATCAGGATCGGAAACCCATTTCTGACCCTGATCAAACGAAAACATGCATACTTGCTTTTGGAGGAGATCTCCATGTAAACTTGCAGGCCATGAGCCTTGCAGCTGAAACAGTCCGGTCCAGGCCATAAGTTCAAGTAGTTAGCAGCGGAATGGATCGACTCTGAAACCACACTTTTTTTTAAATACCAGCTACTGTATTCTAAGATTTAAAGGTTAATGGTTCAGATTTTGTTGCGCAAGGACTTCCAGCATCACCTTCCGTCAATGAGACTTGCCAATGCATGTTTAGGTTTGCAAATATTTTGGTAATAGGTTACAGAAAGTGCCAAATGATAGTGTTGCAGCAAGTTAAACAGGTATCTGGACCCTAAATGAACAGGGCAAGGATCTATGCATTTCCTTAACCAATCTCATTATGGATCAAAATATAAGCTGGGGAATAACAGAAAACCACATGTAAATTAACTGTAAATTAGACAGGGTGAATTTAATGCCATTAGTTACAGAAAGAGAAATAGAGAGGAAAAGAAAGGTACTTTCTGGCATTTCCTGGCACTTGTGTGCGTGAATGTTGTTTGTCATTTATCATCCCAAGCGTGGATGTTGTCCATGCATCTGGACATGGATTGCTTTGGTATCGAAGGAGTCACAAGTGGTACTGAAAATTGCGTACTCATCAACGAGCATCTGCACTTTTAACGTAATGATGGAGGGAAAGTTATTGATGAAGCAACTGAAATGGTTGTGTCTACGACACTATATTGGAAACCTATAGTGATACCCTGCGGCTATGATGATTGTCCTCTAACAATGACAACCCATCTTCTTTTATGCCAGGCATGAATCCAACCTATGGAGAGTTTTCCCTGTCCTCTTTACTCCAGTTTTGCTAGGATTCTTTAATATTGCTCTTTCTTGAGCCCAGTGAAGCTGTTTAATTGGCTTCTTACTGGTACAAAGACATTGGGTAACTGCATTTTTATTAGAGAGAGACACGGCCTTCTCCTAAAAAGATCTCAAAATCTTTGTTTCAGCGACCGAGAAGATTGGAAAGAGGGGAGCTGATTCACTCTTCCTCACCTGACCATAAGACTACTAAGGTTAAAAATTATAATTGAATAGTTTGCATCTTACTGCCTTTGTGGTTCATTGCAGTGGCATACCAATGCTGTGTTCCATCCCAGATTAACCATTTATTTTGATAAATAAGTAGTAACGACATGTAAAAGGACAAGCATCCTATTTGATGATTTGAATACATGTATGATTTGAGTAAATTCCGCTTCTGTGTTGGTTTCATGATACATTCTTTTTCAAAATCTAATTAACAAGAAGAAAAACTGCTCAGTTGCTATAGAATCACAGAATTGACAGGACACAGAAAGAAGCCATTCGGCCCATCATGCCTGCACCTGTTCTTCAAACAAGCAGTATTTCCTGATGCCAATCTCCAGCTTTTTCCTGTACATCTGTACACTGTTCACATTCAAATAATCATCCAATGCCCTCTCGAATGGCTCAGTTGAACCTGGCTTCACCACACTTCTAGGCAGTGCATTTCATACCTTAACTACTTGCTGTATGAAATGAATTTCTCACATCAATCTTGTTTCTTTTGCACATCACTTTATATCTATGTGCCTCATTGTTCCTTTTACAAGCACAAGCAGCATTCCCCTAACTACTGCTCATGATGTTGGAAACCTCTATCAAATCTCCTTTTAGCTTTCTTTTCTCCAAGGAGGACTGTCCCAATTTCTTCAATCTGTACTCATAGAACATAGAACATGGAACAGTACAGGCCCTTCGGCCCACGATGTTGTGCCGACCTATTATCCTACTAAGATCAAACTATCCTGCATACCCTACATTATACTATCATCCATGTGTCTATCCAAGAGTCGCTTAAAAGTCTCTAAAGTATCTGACTCCACTACCACTGCCGGCAGCGCATTCCACACGCCCACCACCCTCTGTGTAAAGAACCTGCCTCTGACATCTCCCCTGTACCTTCCTTCAATCACCTTAAAATTATGCCCCCTCGTAATTGTCATTTCTGCCCTGGGAAAAAGTCTCTGACTACCACTGTATATATGCTCTCATCATCTTGTACACCTCTATCAAGTTACCTCTCATTCTTCTTCACTCCAATGAAAAAAGCCCTAGCTCCCTCAACCTTTCCTCATAAGACCTGCCCTCCAGTCCAGGCAGCATCCTGGTAAATCTCCTCTGCACCATCTCTAAAGTTTCCACATCTTTCCTATAATAAGGTGACCAGAACTGAACACAATATTCCAAGTGTGGTCTAACCAGGGTTTTATTTTATACTCATAACTGAAGTTTCTCATTCCTGGAACCATCCTTGTAAATTGCTTCTGCAGTCTCTCCAATGTATTTGCATCTGTTGTATCATGTGACACCCATAATGGGCACAGTTCTCCAGCTGAGATCTAATAAGTGTCTTATCCAGGTTCAACATCACTTCCTTGCCCTATGCCCCATTAATAAAGCCAATGATACTATATGCTTTATTTATCACTCTTTCTGTCCTGCCACCTCAATGATCTGTACATATATACACCAAAGTCTGTCTGCTCCTGTACCCCTAATGTTACATTGCCTTTCGATGGTCTTAGTACCAAAGTGGAAATGTCACCCAGGGTAACAAAATGTTAGGTTTCCAGTTCATTGTGCTTGATTGTAACCTTTGCTGCTTATGTAATTGTACCCTTTTTATTCCTTTAGCTCTAGCTAAAATGATTCTGTCCTTGAAACTTGGACATCCTCTTTCTCCAACACTGCAATATACTCCTTAACCGATAATACTACCCCTCCTCCTTTGCTCCTTTTTCTATCTTTCGTGAAGAAAGCCCAGGAACATATAACATCCACTCATTCTCTTCCATGAGCCAGTTCTGTTAACCTTAACCTTCTGTTAACCCAACCTTATTTACTATACTCCTTGCATGTACGTACATTAACTCTGTTTATAACTTCATTTCTTTGTCCCTTACTGTGACTTTACCGATTAATTTGCTGTCCTCTATGCTAATACCATCTTTATCCCCAAGTATCTTGCAAACCCTGGTGTTCTCTACTGTTCTCTCTTGCTTCCCATACCCCTGTAGGTTAGTTTAAATCCCTTTTGTTACAAAACAGGGATAGCCAACAAAACCAAATCAACCTCACTATCATTAGATTTGCAAATCAGTAAAATTAAAATATTCAGTGACCCATCAAATTGCCCAATAGTTCCTAACCAGACTTTACCAATAACAGATTTTGGACACCAAGTTTACAACTTATACAAAAATTAATAATTTATGACTGATAATGTAACTTTAACAGAACAAAGATAAACAAGATAATTTAATGAATATCTATGATGTATGCCCAATCTTTGTTGATCATAACCCTTAGTTTTACAGAGGCAGACAGAGATAGTTAAAGGATAAATTGAAAGGAAAATAAAGTAATTGGAATTTGCCAGAACAGTAAACAGTGTCAAACAATGGATACCAGGCCTTCATGAAATCATTGGGCAAAGGATTATTCGTAGGCAGGCAGAACTGTATATTTTGTTTGAATCCCAAAGTCACTGGTTAATTCAAACAGTTTCAGCAGACTCCTAGAAGTATTTACTTATTATTTACAGACTGGGATTCTTTTCTCAAAAGTCAACAATTCGATAACTGTTTAGAAAACTAGAAGAGAGAGATTAAAACACAACAGCAGTCTCTGGAAATTAAAAAAAAATCAAACTCCTCCTGCAAAAACCCAGTCAAAACTGGTTCTCTCTTCTTTTCTTTTCAATCAATGTCTCCATGGTTGATTGGTTATCACTGGTCCTCCCTTGATTGACTGATTCAAAATCCAACCAGCTGCCAGCCCTGACTAGTTAGTCGATAGGATGGGCATTTCTGTGGCCACCAACATAACTTCAGGATGGTATGTAGCTTCACCACTGCCAGGGTCAAGGATGTCACAGAGCAGCTACTGGACATTCTTCTGAGGGAGGGTGAACAACCAGAGGTTGTGGTACTCATTGATACCGAAGATTTAGGTAGGAAGGGGGATATGGCCCTGCAGTCAGAGTTTAGGGAGCTAGGTAGAAAGCTAGCAAGCAGGACTTTAAACGTAGCAATCTCTGGATTACTTGCCATGTGCAAGTGAGTGTAGAACCTGAAGGATATGCAAATGAATTGAACCAGCCACCTTGCGCCTCTTGTAAACCAATGAAAGCATCAGAGAAGAATGACCAGAAGCAGCATTTTGACCAGTACAACAATGATAAGAATTATCTCAGGACCACTCAGCTGCCTTCCCAGTCTTTCCCACTGCCCATAGCACCATTTCTTTCCCTGTCTATCTGTATGCATGTAAAGAGGAGTTTATAAATATACTAGAGTTTGAACTAGTAGAGTTATATGCTGACAGTTCATAATTGTTTACCTGTAACTAGAGTCTATTTACTTGAAATAAGTTCTTGTTTGGTACAGAGTCAATCTGAATATGAAAATCAGGTAAATTAGGG